GAGCCCTGGTGGCACAGTGGTTAAGCTGTCAGGTCTGCAGTTTGAACCCACCAGCCACTCTGTGGGAAGAAAGTTGTGGCAGTCTGCTTCTGTGAAGATTACAGTCTTGGAAACCCCGTGGGGCAGTGCTACTCTGTCCTCGAGGGGCACTATGAGTCGGAATCGACTCCACAGCAGTGCATTTGTTTTGAGCCTTGCTTCTGTAAAGATTGACAGCCTTGGAAACCCTGTGGTGCAGTTCCACTCTGTCCTCTAGAGGCGCTGTGAGTTGGAATTGACTACAGGGCAGTGGGTGTGGTTTGGGCTTTGCGTCTGTGAAGATTGACAGCCTTGGAGGCCCTGTGGTGCAGTTCCACTCTGTCCTCTAGTTGCACTATGAGTTGGAATCGACTCCACGGCAGTGCGTTTGGTTTGGACTTTGGTTCTGTAAAGATTATAGCCTAGAAACCCTGTGGGGCAGTTCTCCTCTGTCCTATAAGGGCGCTATAAGTTGAAATGGACTTGACAGCAGTGGATATTTTTTGTTTTTATATATTACAAATTGTATATTACATATTATATGTTACACATCAGTATATATTTTATGGTCAAATGTAATAATTTGTTAAAAATAACATGTAAAAAAATGAATTTGTGCATAGGCCTCCAAATTTCAGGCATGGGATCTAAGTAGATTTCTAGAAGAAACACTAGCCCACTTTCTAGTTCTGACAACAAATTAAACTATCCCACACCCCAACTCCCTCCCAGTTTTTGCTACAGAATCAACAAATTTTCGCCATCCCTCTCCCCATAAAACCACACATACAAGTTAAAACAAGACATTTTGCCACTATAAATACAATCCTAATCCAAGTACTTAAAAAAAAAGAAAGAAAGAAATAGAGTCCATCATTGTCCATAACACAAATAATGTGTATGTGGGGCTGAGTGCATTTTCAGAAGGAGAGTCAAGAGAGGGGGCAGTGAACATGGCAATACCCCCAGGAGAAGGCAGCTTTAGCAGCTGTATGAAGGACAAAATGAGGATGGCAGTGGGAGTGGGAAGGGACCTAGGGAGTTGATCCTCCTTGGGTTGTTGAAAAGATAAATGTGTGTGTAGATATGTGTGTGTATGTATCTATACATAAGGTTGTTGTCGGGTGCCATCAAGTCAATTCTGACTCATAACAACTCAATGTGACAGAGTAGAACTGCCACCATAGGGTTTTCTAGGCTGGAATCTTTAAGAGTATGGGGGAGGGGAGGACATCGGGGATGGAGCCCTGGTTTCACAGTGGTTAAATGCTTTACTGCTAATAGAAAGGTCAGAGGTTCAAATCCACCAGCCGCTCCATGGGAGAAATATGTGGCAGTCTGCTTCTATAAAGATTTACAGCCTTGGAACCCCTATAGGATAGTACTACTCTGTCCTGTAGGGTTGCTGAGAGTCAGAATCAACTAGACAGCAATGGGTTTGGTCTGGTGGGAACAGACTGCCAAGTCTTTCTCTCAAGGAGTCGGTGGGTGAGTTTCAACCACTAACCTATCAGTTAACAGCCAAGCACTTAACTGTTGCACCACCAAGAGTTGTTATATAAAATATTATTAAATATCTTAAATGATAGAGTCCTTATAATTAACTAAAAAAAAAAAAAAAAACTTGGCATAGTCGCTTCTCCATGGTAGACTGTCAGTGTACGCTCACCCTTCTTTATCTAGTGTGCATATACAGTCAACGATGGCAATTAGCAGCCTACTCTTTGCTGTATAAAATGTAAAAATGATTCTTGTGCATATGACATAGGAAAAGGTTCCCATGTGCTCTCATAAACAGGGTCCTGTGAAAGAGAGTAGACCCTCCAGGGATCTTTCTAGATAGTTTCCTTGGCCTGATAGATCCGGTCACCCAGCAGATCCTCAAGATTTTGACATTTGCAACAGACTGAGAAAATCCACAGTCAACTAAGGGTGGACTTGCTTTGGGGACTTGAGAGCCAGTTTGGGGACACAGACGTGGTGCTTGTTTGCTTTCTTACTGACTGAGACAGTGGGTGATGTTGGGGAGAAGTAGATGGCCCATGTAACTCTTGACATCTTTCCCTTGGCCTGCAGGGTGATTTCACCTGGAACAGCATGTCGGGCCGCAGCGTGCGGCTGAGGTCAGTCCCCATCCAGAGTCTCTCGGAGCTGGAGCGAGCCCGGCTGCAGGAAGTGGCTTTTTATCAGTTGCAGCAGGACTGTGACCTGAGCTGTCAGATCACCATTCCCAAAGGTAAGGGCTGGGCTGTCATTCTGCCTCGTCATGCAGCGAGTCAAACATCTGCTGGGCAAAGCCACTGCTGCAATCGCATCTGTCATCTCCCGTTAACCCAGGAAGTGAATGAGTGGCTCTTGGTTGGTGGCTGGCCTTAGTGTATGTTTTGGAAGATGCTTTCAAGCAGAACAATTTGCATGTTAGTGAATATGTTTATTGAAAGGGGAAGGTCACCCCAGAGCATTAGCATCTGTGTATACCTCAAGGGTCTGCCCGGCTACAGAGCCGCCCATTGCTATGCATTGTCAGAGAGGCCAGCTGAAAGCTTTCGGCAAAAGAGCTGTGTGTATCTCAACAGGCCTTCAGACTAACCAGGGGAAAAGAACGTTTTACCAGTTGGGTAGTCTCTTCCTCATTTGGCTTCAGACAAACACCAAATCCAAGCCATACCGACTCTAACTTGCTTTTACCTAGTCTTTCACCTGATGCTGTGTGATGGGGCCCCCTTGGACACTACACAGACCTGGTTTCCTGAGGCTTCTGCAAACCCAGATCCTCATTCCAATAAAGATGAGAAGCAGGCATGTGAATTCTGTTCATCATACAAGTCTAGTTCTCAGTCTTTACTATCTTCTATAAAGCAACTTTATCATTTGTATTAGTGTATAGCGGCAGCTGCTTTGAGGTGAAGTGGAAACCTCTGATTCTATACAAATCGACATCCGGTTCTGGTTGTCATCGAGCAATTCTGAGTCCTGGCGACCCCTACTCTGTCAGCATAGACCTGTGCACCACAGGGTTTTCAGTGGTTGGCTTTTCAAAAACAGACTGCCATGCCTTTCTTCTGAGGTGACTCTGGTTGGATTTGAACCTCCAACTTTTTAGTTACCAGCTGAATGCATTAACTGTTTGCACTACCATAAATAGACTAAACCTTTATTTATTTACTCCATAAATAGAGTAAACCTACCATAAAAAGAGGAGCTCTGGTGGCATAGTACCTAAGGCATTTGACTGCTAACCAGAGGGCTGGCGATTCAAACCCACCAGCCACTCCTCAGAAGGAAGATGGGGCAATCTACTTCCGTAGAGATACCGCCTCGGCAACCCAAGGAGGGGTCACTATGAGTCGGATCCGACTCGAGGGCAGTGAGTTTGAGCATAAAAAGAGGCATTGGCTGATGTGCCTGGAACTTCAAGGAAAGCAGAAGAGAGGAGCATTAAGCTTCTAAAAGCTATAAAATGGCTTTGGGGGATTTAAGTATCCGGACAACTTGTTCTACTTGGTTTTTATTGAGGGGAAAGGGCAATGGATTTGTTATGGATTGAATTGTGTCCCTCACAGGTATGTGTTGTAATTCCAAATTTCTGTGCTTGGGAGCTCTGGTGGCGTAATGCCTAAGGCATTTGACTGCTAACCAGGAGGCTGGTGGTTCAAACCCACCAGCCACTCCTCAGAAGGCAGTTTGGGCAGTCTACTTCTGTAGTGAGAGTGCCTCAGAAACCCAAGGAAGGGTTGCTATGAGTCAGATCCGACTCAAAGGCAG